GTTGTGAGAAGAAGGGGCAGCAAAGCATGCTGGGAAGAAGGACGTGAGGGGAAATGAAATGAAACCTAATAAAGGATAATTTATCAATAAAGCTAATGAGTGAAACCGAACAAAAGACATCTTGGGGATTATTCATTCAGTTATACACTGGAAAAAGGGTAAATTTCAATTACAGGAAACAGATCCTTGTTTGTGAAAAGAAGGGGCAGCAAAGCATGCTGGGAAGAAGGACGTGAGGGAAATGAAACCTAATAGAGGTTCATTTATCCATAAGCTAAATAGTGAAACCAAACAAAAGGCACCTTGAGATTGATTGATTTGGTTATACACTGGAAAAACCAGCAAATTTCAAATTTATTGAGGCTGGGAATCGACCATTGGCCTAGCAGAGCTGGCAATGCATGCTGGGAAGTCTGCCCCCCCCCAGTGTGGACCAGGCTGGCAGAGGCTGGCGGGAGTTGCAGGGCTTTGGAAGGTGGCCCCTTCCCCTCCCGAGGGGATCTCAAAGCCTGGCTCCATGGCCCTCCTGCCTCTGCCTCCGCCAGGGACACCAGCTGCACTCTGCACGCCCTCAGAGCCGGAGAGGCTGGCAGGGGCAGGGCCCCCAGGTGAGCCTGGGAGAGAGAGGGCCCTGGGGGGATTTGCACTCTGCACGCCCTCAGAGGCCGGAGAGGCTGGCAGGGGCAGGGCCCCCAGGTGAGCCAGGAGGAGAGGGGCCCCCTGGGGGATCTGCACTCTGCACGCCCTCAGAGGCCGGAGAGGCTGGCAGGGGGAGGGCCCCCAGGTGAGCCCAGAGAGAGAGGGGCCCTGGGGGGGATCTGCACTCTGCATGCCCTCAGAGGCCGGAGAGGCTGGCAGGGGGAAGGCCCCCAGGTGAGCCCAGGAGAGAGAGGGGCCCCTGGGGGGATTTGCACTCTGCACGCCCTCAGAGGCTGGAGAGGCTGGCAGGGACAGGGCCCCCAGGTGAGCCAGGAGAGAGAGGGGCCCCTGGGGGGATCTGCACTCTGCACGCCCTCAGAGGCCGGAGAGGCTGGCAGGGACAGGGCCCCCAGGTGAGCCCGGAGAGAGAGGGGCCGCTGGGGGATTTGCACTCTGCACGCCCTCAGAGGCCAGAGAGGCTGGCAGGGACAGGGCCCCCAGGTGAGCCGGAGAGAGAGGGGTCTCTGGGGGGATTTGCACTCTGCACGCCCTCAGAGGCCGGAGAGGCTGGCAGGGGCAGGGCCCCCAGGTGAGCCTGGGACAGAGAGGGGCCCCTGGGGGGATCTGCACTCTGCACGCCCTCAGAGGCTGGAGAGGCTGGCAGGGACAGGGCCCCCAGGTGAGCCTGGGAGAGAGAGGGGCCCCTGGGGGGATCTGCACTCTGCACGCTCTCAGAGGCTGGAGAGGCTGGGCAGGGACAGGGCCCCCAGGTGAGCCTGGGAGAGAGAGGGGCCCCTGGGGGGGGATCTGCACTCTGCACCGCCTCCTCAGATGGCCGGGAGAGGCTGGCAGGGGCAGGGCCCCCAGGTGAGGCCCTGGGAAGAGAGAGGGGCCCCTGGGGGAATCTGCACTCTGCACGCCCTCAGAGGCCGGAGAGGCTGGCAGGCGGCAGGGCCCCCAGGTGAAGCCCAGGAGAGAGAGGGGCCACCTGGGGGATCTGCACTGCTGCACGCCCTCAGAGGCCGGAGAGGCGGCAGGGGCATGAGGGCCCCAGGTGAGCCAGGGAGAGAGAGGGCCCGGGGGGAATCTGCACTCTGGCACGCCCTCAGAGGCCGGAGAGGCTGGCAGGGCACGGGCCCCCAGGTGAGGCCCAGGGAGACGAGAGGGGCCCCTGGGGGGATTTGCACTCTGCACGCCCTCAGAGGCCGGAGAGGCTGGCAGGGGCAGGGGCCCCCAGGTGAGCCCGGGAGAGAGAGGGGCCCCTGGGGGGATTTGCACTCTGCACGCCCTCAGAGGCCGGAGAGGCTGGCAGGGGGCAGGGCCCCCAGGTGAGCCCGGGAGAGAGAGGGGCCCCTGGGGGGATTTGCACTCTGCACGCCCTCAGAGGCCGGAGAGGCTGGCAGGGGCAGGGCCCCAGGTGAGCCTGGGAAGAAGAGGGGCCCCTGGGGGATCTGCACTCTGCACGCCCTCAGAGGCCGGAGAGGCTGGCAGGGGCAGGGCCCCCAGGTGAGCCTGGGAGAGAGAGGGGCCCCTGGGGGGATTTGCACTCTGCACGCCCTCAGAGGCCGGAGAGGCTGGCAGGGGCAGGCCCCCAGGTGAGCCGGAGAGAGAGGGGCCCCTGGGGGGATTTGCACTCTGCACGCCCTCAGAGGCCGGAGAGGCTGGCAGGGACAGGGCCCCCAGGTGAGCCCGGGAGAGAGAGGGGCCCCTGGGGGATCTGCACTCTGCACGCCCTCAGAGGCCGGAGAGGCTGGCAGGGCAGGGCCCCCAGGTGAGCCTGGGAGAGAGAGGGCCCCTGGGGGATCTGCACTCTGCACGCCCTCAGAGGCCGGAGAGGCTGGCAGGGGCAGGGCCCCAGGTGAGCCCAGGGACAGAGAGGGGCCCCTGGGGGGATCTGCACTCTGCACGCCCTCAGAGGCCAGAGAGGCTGGCAGGGGCAGGGCCCCCAGGTGAGCCCGGGAGAGAGAGGGGCCCCTGGGGGATCTGCACTCTGCACGCCCTCAGAGGCCGGAGAGGCTGGGCAGGGGCAGGGCCCCCAGGTGAGCCCGGGAGAGAGAGGGGCCCCTGGGGGATCCTGCACTCTGCACGCCCTCAGAGGCCAGAGAGGCTGGCAAGGGGCAGGGCCCCCAGGTGAGCCCGGGAAGAGAGGGGCCCCTGGGGGGATTTGCACTCTGCACGCCCTCAGAGGCCGGAGAGGCTGGCAGGGGGAGGGCCCCCAGGTGAGCCCAGGAGAGAGAGGGGCCCCTGGGGGGATCTGCACTCTGCACGCCCCAGAGGCCGGAGGGGCTGGCAGGGGGAGGGCCCCCAGGTGAGCCCAGGAGAGAGAGGGGCCCCTGGGGGGATCTGCACTCTGCACGCCCTCAGAGGCCGGAGAGGCTGGCAGGGGAAGGCCCCCAGGTGAGCCCAGGAGAGAGAGGGGCCCCTGGGGGATTTGCACTCTGCACGCCCTCAGAGGCCGGAGAGGCTGGCAGGGGGAGGGCCCCCAGGTGAGCCCGGGAGAGAGAGGGGCCCCTGGGGGGATTTGCACTCTGCACGCCCTCAGAGGCCGGAGAGGCTGGCAGGGGGAAGGCCCCCAGGTGAGCCCGGGAGAGAGAGGGGCCCCTGGGGGGATCTGCACTCTGCACGCCCTCAGAAGCCGGAGAGGCTGGCAGGGGGAGGGCCCCCAGGTGAGCCCAGGAGAGAGAGGGGCCCCTGGGGGGATCTGCACTCTGCACGCCCCCAGAGGCCGAGGGGCTGGCAGGGGGAGGGCCCCCAGGTGAGCCCAGGAGAGAGAGGGGCCCCTGGGGGGATCTGCACTCTGCACGCCCTCAGAGGCCGGAGAGGCTGGCAGGGGCAGGGCCCCCAGGTGAGCCCGGGAGAGAGAGGGGCCCCTGGGGGGATTTGCACTCTGCACGCCCTCAGAGGCCGGAGAGGCTGGCAGGGGGAAGGCCCCCAGGTGAGCCCAGGAGAGAGAGGGGCCCCTGGGGGGATTTGCACTCTGCACGCCCTCAGAGGCCGGAGAGGCTGGCAGGGGCAGGGCCCCCAGGTGAGCCTGGGAGAGAGAGGGGCCCCTGGGGGGATCTGCACTCTGCACGCCCTCAGAGGCCGGAGAGGCTGGCAGGGGGAGGGCCCCCAGGTGAGCCCAGGAGAGAGAGGGGCCCCTGGGGGGATCTGCACTCTGCACGCCCTCAGAGGCCAGAGAGGCTGGCAGGGGCAGGGCCCCCAGGTGGGCTTGGAGAGAGAGGGGCCCCTGGGGGGATCTGCACTCTGCACGCCCTCAGAGGCCGGAGAGGCTGGCAGGGGCAGGGCCCCCAGGTGAGCCTGGGACAGAGAGGGGCCCCGGGGGGGATCTGCACTCTGCACGCCCTCAGAGGCTGGAGAGGCTGGCAGGGACAGGGCCCCCAGGTGAGCCCAGGAGAGAGAGGGGCCCCTGGGGGGATCTGCACTCTGCACGCCCTCAGAGGCCAGGGAGGCTGGCAGGGGCAGGGCCCCCAGGTGAGCCAGGGACAGAGAGGGGCCTCGGGGGATCTGCACTCTGCACGCCCTCAGAGGCCGGAGAGGCTGGCAGGGACAGGGCCCCCAGGTGAGCCCAGGAGAGAGAGGGGCCCCTGGGGGGATTTGCACTCTGCACGCCCTCAGAGGCAGGAGAGGCTGGCAGGGGCAGGGCCCCCAGGTGAGCCCAGGAGAGAGAGGGGCCCCTGGGGGGATCTGCACTCTGCACGCCCTCAGAGGCCGGAGAGGCTGGCAGGGGCAGGGCCCCCAGGTGAGCCCAGGAGAGAGAGGGGCCCCGGGGGGATCTGCACTCTGCACGCCCTCAGAGGCAGGAGAGGCTGGCAGGGGGAGGGCCCCCAGGAGAGAGAGGGGCCCCTGGGGGGATTTGCACTCTGCACGCCCTCAGAGGCTTCGTAGTCTAAGTTCAGGGGGCTGCCTGAACCAGCATCTCTCTGGAGGGGTTTCTTCCCATTGGTCAACATCCTTCTTAAATTGTGGTGCCCAGAACTGGACACAGTATTCCAGGTGACGTCTGACCAAGGCAGAATGGAGCTCAGTCTTGTAAGCCACTGGGATTAGTAGCAAGAAAAGTAATAATAATCACAACAAGATAGTAATATTAGACTTGGTTAACAAATGTTTTTAAGAACATTGTTCACACATATTTATACTGCTTAACTATGTGTGCATTTCAATCACTTATTCATTGTTGTGAGTAGTACTTTTAAGTGCATGCTTAATATTACAATCAAGGTGCAATACTTTTAAAATGCATGTTTTCTTTAATTATAAACACAGAAATAAATGACGCTCCCAATTCATCGGATGATGACCTGGGCCACAAAGAGGGAACCAGGCAGAGGGCCTTCTTGGTGGTGGCGCCCTCCCAGCCGATGTCAAGGAAAGAAACGACTACCTGACTTTTAGAAGACACCTGAAGGTAGCCCTGTTCAGGGAAGTTTGTAATGTTTGATGTATTTCTCGTCTTTTTCCTATTCTATTGGGAGCCGCCCTGAGTGGCTGGGGAAACCAAGCCAGATGGTGGGGTATAAAGAAATGGTTGTTGTTGTGACACTAGATTTCATGAACACTCATCTCAGAGCGGCCTGGAAATGGAGGGCCAGAGTCTTTATATACTAACCTTTTATGCTCTTCCACATCTGTTTAATGCTCCGAAACCCTTCTTTTCGCTTCTTTTAGACTTTTATGTATACTTTGTGTTTTAATATTTTTTAGCTTTACGTTTTACAGTTTGGAAATGACTGTACCCCACCCTACTGATGCTGGTCTACTACCGTAATCAAGATTTGATTGATTGAAATGAAAAATCCTATAGTAATGCAGTGATTGGACACCGAATTAATATAATACAGGGTGATTCATAATGAAATATACATTTTCCAGATCCTGTAAGACAGGCGCCGACACGGAAAACAGCTGCGAACCGTGAGGCAGATGTACTGATACAGTTTGTCTTCCGCGACTGAGGGAAGTGATGGAGGTGAGAGTGCGCGTGTCACGTGACTAGTCAGGCGAAATGGCGGCGTCTGGAGTGGAGAAGGCGTTTTGGGTTCTTGAATTCAGCAAAATGGAGTTTCTTGTGCAAAGGCATTTTCGATTGTGATGTGTGTCGTGTGACAAAGGGTCACACATAGAACATCTCTGACTGTTTCTAAAATACTTTAAACATTCCCCTACAATTCCGTCACAGGTAACATGGGATATATTATATTCTTTTTTATAGGGTGTTGAAACTGTATATTTTATTATGAATCACCCTGTATAATAATATAATTATATTATATTATATTATATTATATTATATTATATTATATTAATTATATTATATTATAATACATTCCCCCAAATTAATATTTCATTACTAATTAATATTAGTAATAATAATGAAATAAGTCAAGCCAGAGGCTCCTCCCAGCTTTGCCTTGCCCAGCCTAGTGGGCGTGACCACTCTCCACTAAACCCCGCCCCACCTCTCCCCGCTTTCCACTGCTGCCTTTTGTGACCCATTGCCTTCCCCAGCTCTACTCTCCCCACCTCCTTTCTCAATGACTCTACTCTCCCCACCTCCTTTCTCAATGACCTTTTATGCTCTTCCACATCTGTTTAATGCTCCCAAACCCTTCTTTTAGCGTCTTTTAGACTTTTATATATACTTTGTGTTAAATACTTTTTCGCTTTCCGAAACGTTTTACAGACTGAAAATGATTGTACCCCACTCTACTGATGCTGGTCTACTACTGTAATAAAGATTTGATTGATTGATTGATTGATTGAAATGAAGTATCCTATAGAAATGCAATGACTGGACACTAATGTAATGTATTCCCCTCCCCCCAAATTCATACTTTATTACTTATTAATATTAGTAAGAATAATGAAATAAGTCAAGCCAGAGGCTGCTCCCAGCTTAAATTTATATAGCACCCTTCATTGGAATGCTACAAGTTGAATCGTAATAAGAATGAGAGTTTCCACCAATTTGAAGTGATGAAAGTTTAAGTAGGATGCAATCTTGACTAATTAATATAAATGCTTTGTCAGTGGCTGATCTGTAAATTATTTTTACTTGCCCTTTTGATCTTGGCTTTGCTCTATAATGGGGACCTGAATGGGAGGAACCTGAGTTGGAGGAGGAGGCCTCTTGCTTTTCCTTCCTGACTGAGCATAAGATGCCTCCTCTGAAAAGGTTTGGCAGGCAGGGAATACAACTTATCTGGCATCGTCTCATTGCTTTCCTCCAATGCTAAACTTGTTGCTTGCTCACTCGTAATCTGGTGATCCACTCAACATCAGTGCACAACATGTCACATCCAGGCCAGTGGAATAAAACCCATTGGACTCCAGTCAAGGCTTGGCTAAGGTCAGTTGCTACTTTTTGGAACAGAGAGCAGAGCTTACACAATACAGAAATTAAACCAACAGACTACGGAAGATGTCTTAAATGAATTTCTCAGTTTATTGATATACAAAGCTTAGGAGAACGAAATGACATGAAGTGTACTTATGAATGATACAGCATACATGTAGAAAATGGAGAAAATTCAATAAATAGAAATGACATAACTAGAAACTATTGTTGAATATCAGAATTGATATGGTTAATAGGTAGTTAGGACAAAGGAATCACACTCAAAGACCTAACTCCTCTCTCCCTCCAGCCTATCTTGTTGTGAGATAAATATAACTTCTCAAAGCAAAAAATGATTAAATGATAAAACTTTACAAACTAAGGGCAGTAGACCAGGACTCATTGTAGTCCTTGGCAAGCAAGGTAGCAAAACATTTCCTCCCATCTTACGGTTCATGTCAACAGGACTACACAAAACCTGGGCTAAGAATGAACACAATCTCTTTCACAGATGAAGAATGAGCAACATGGATGAGCAAGTGTGTTTCCTTTATGCACTTCTGGGCATCGGGAACATGGAATATTTTAAGAATCAACTGTTCCCTTAATTTCTGGTTGTCAGGTGCTCCTTTGTGTTCAGATCAGACCTCAGCACAATCATGTAGCACTTGGGAAGGAAGATGCAGCCCAGAAGCCCAGCACTGGAGGCCAACATAGAGAAGATCTGCACGGCCACCATGTACTTGCCCTTGGTGCTCAGGTAGGTGGGCACAAAAGAGACCCAAACACTGCAGAAGACCAGCATGCTGAAGGTGATCAGCTTGGCTTCGTTGAAGGAGCCGGGCAGCTTCCTGGCTAGGAAAGCCACCGTGAAGCAGGTGGCAGCCAAGAAGCCCAGGGAGCCGAGGGCAACGTAAAACATGGCCACAGACCCTTCGTTGCATTGCAGGATGATCTCTTCCAGCTGGGAGAGCATGTCGGGCTCTGGGAATGGGGGAGAAGAGCCCAGCCAGATGGTGCAGATGAGAACTTGCCCCCCAGAACAGGAGATGACAATGGAGTTGGCCAGACTCTTGCCCAGCCATCTCCTCACCACCGTGATGGTCTTTGCCAAGACAGAAGAAACAGCAGCTGAGAAGATGATGCTGAAGGCCGTTTGTCGGAGAAGGCAGGTCTCTTTCCTTGGGCGCCCGATGAAGAGGAAGGAGGACAGAAAGGAAAGCAGGAGGGAGACGAGGAGGATGTAGGAGAGGTCCCGGTTGTTGGCTTTGACTATGGGAGTGTCCTTGTATTTAATGAAGATTCCCAACACAATGCCTGCAGTTATAGATAAGAAGAGGGTAACGGAAGCTAACACCATTCCCAAATATTCTTCATAAGCCAGGAAGATGATAATCTTGGGGGCACATTGATCTCTGTCCTTGTTTGGATACTGATCTTCTGAGCATTTGGTGCAATGTTCTGCATCTGAGGAAGTGGAAAAAGAGTGGCTGCAGCATCAGTTACATCCCTAATGATCTGTTCTCTTTTACGTTTTGAAAAACTCTGTGGTGGACTTCAGTAAATAAGAATGTTAAAATAGGTAAAGCAAAATTGTGATGTAGGATAAACTGAGTAGCAATGAGCACTCCGCTTCTGTTAACTGCATTGTTTGGTCCTGCCTAATCCTGAAGAAACAGCTCTTTAACTTGACATTTGAAATGCAGTTTTCTGTTGCTTCCATGCAATGTTCATAGTAGTGAGATCAAAACAGTCCATTGATTATATTGTAATAATTTTCATATGAAGTATTGTTCATTTTTTATTGTGCTTTTGCTATTAAAAATTTGCTGGTTTGCATCACCTGTCCATTACTCTTTATAAATGTCAACATGATTTCCTTTTTGGTGTGACTTGGTATAAAAAATAAAGAAAGAATGCTTTATGGGCATTCCTCTCACAGCTGCCCACTTTCAACCCCAGAGATTTCTTCCTTATGACCACTCCTTTCAACTCCCTTCCTGGATGTAATAAAGTTGATTAATCCTATGGATGTCGAGGAAGAATCCATATTCCCCAATGTCTGCAGAAATCTCACAAAAAGTGGGTGAGACTGGATTACTGCCCTGTGTTTACTCTCTCCAGAAATACCTTTCCCCTTGGAGTCACCCACCTTCCTGGGCGGAGAAGGTCCCTTCCGCACACCGAGCACAAGCATAGCAGCAAACGGGCTTTTCTTCTAGAACCGCCTTGGCATATCCAGGTCGACATCTCTCTGTACACCTGGAACGAGGTACGGCCTAACCAGAAAGACAAGAAGGTGCAACAAAGAGGAACAGTTAGGAGTATTTGTGGGTATGTCATTCACTCATAGGGTGAATTGAAACAGATACCCGGTATATGGTCTGCAGCCTTTGACGCCCTCATCAGGGTCCCTTCAACCCCCTCTGACCATTGGGGTGACCAGAATATCTTGGTCTTCATAATTCGTTCAGGACAACTGAGGTTTGCGCCACAGAACTCTGATTCCTCTTCTCCGTTTACCTGCTTCCCTGCTTAATAAATCTTCAAAGAAAATGGCAATGGAGTCTGAAATGTGATTTCCCTAGTTATTTCTAGTTTACATGCCATTTCTTAACGTTAATCTTATATTACAATAGGTTTTTTTTTTAATTATCATCTTTCACCAACAACTGTGCACTTCTCTATTCCTGCACATACAATAGTTTAACTATTGCAACATCTACAAGTGAGCTTACTCCACAAATTTAAAAAATCCACAATAAATCAGGAATTATCATTTCAAAAATAAATCGCTTTCCATCCTTCTGCATGTATGAAAACCCAATAGTTCCCTTTTACTAGGGGCTTTCCCTTTTCTTCTTATCCATGTAGTCCATTTGGTTAAAGATTCTATCCAGAATTCTTAAATTCTCAGTCTGGCTCGGAAATAGATAGTGTCTTTTCTAAGGACCTCTGGGCTCTATGCTTTCTGTGAGCATCCCAAATTCCCATCCTATCTCAGCTGCTGTGGAAAGAAGGAGTGGCCGTTGCAGCTGTTATTGGACGGTCAAGACATCATTTGTCAACCTGATATAGCCATTTTGCAGCAGTTGTTCAAGGAAAGCTGGGATCTCCTAGCCTCCCCTCTCTGTGATTCTCCCTACCTTGTTGAATTTCTTGGGCCACTCAATGGCTTCTGGGTTAATGGTGAACTTTATGCTAGCAGACGTCTCTCTCCTTATATTCCCAATAACGACACAAGACTTATTGGGAGAGATCACCCAGTTCACAATATCAAAGTCCGCTGGCAGCTCCCAGTTCTCATCCAAGCACAGCCTGCCTCTGGAAGTATTCAGACACCGAATTTCTCTCAAGAAAGGGTGAAGCTGGAATGACAGGGGACAGCACCAGCACTGAGAAACCTGGAAGCCAAGATGGATGTCTCAGTCCTACTCACTTCAACCTCTTATGATTTGGGGCCTGGGTGTATCTCATGTAGACTGGAATACCTATTCAGCCATTTTTATTACTACAGACCCTGCAAGTGCCCCAATTTTCCAGGGATGTCCCTGGATTAGAGTCAGTTTTTCATTTGATCCCGGAATGTCCCACTTTTCCTTTTCTTCATTGGAGAAAAGTTGGCAGATGTGGAGTTATCCAACCCGCAAGCCGTCCAATCCTGTATCGGGAATTTTAATATGTTTTATATTTTAGTATGAATTTCTTTATTTTGGGAGCTGCCCAGAGTGCTGAGGCAAGCCAAAAAGATGTGTGGGATATAAACAGTGATATATTTCTAGCAAAAAGGGTGCCGGAAATCACCATGAACACCTCCCTCTGAGAATGGCAATGGTACCCGCCTGAGAGGTGCCAGAACTGAGTTTGAGTGAGTCCCGACCCCCCAGTAAAAAAGCCCTAGGTATCAACAGTAAAATTTTCATTATGGAATGGTATGTCCCTATTTTCATCAGAGAAATGTTGGGCGGTCTGCTACTATTACTAATACTAATAGTAATTATGATATGTTGCAGGTCTATCCCCAGTCAAGATCAGCATCTGTGTGGACTGCAGTTTGCAAAAAGGGGAAGGAAATACCTGCCACGGCTGTAGCCTTTGGGGTCCCCATTGCTCTCCTTCCTCCACCATCAGCAAAGCATGCAAGGCCTGAGCCACAGCTTGAACATGGATGTAAGTGCCAGAGCTGTCCAGAGGCCCCAAGGATGGGGGCAGCGAGAAGTTTGTTGCTATGGCAACACTTGAGGACAACCACAGTGAGGACAGAGTGATGCACTGGATAATTGACAGTGGTTGAATCGGCAGCTTTCTGCTGGTTGAAAGACTGGCTACTTCTTGAGAACACGGACATTTTGGATTTGGAAGGGTTTAACAATAGATTTGGTTGGCATGCATATCTATGGTATGACAAGGTAAAATCGCACAAAGGATTTAAAAACCATATTGTCAGAGCTGCCCTAGGTCCCAGCTCACAAAGGACCAACACCAGTTCGTTGTTATATAAAACAGTCTTTATTGAAGTTCATTTTAGCTTTCACAGCCGCGGCGCGCAGCTCTACGTCTCAAACTCTAGACCGCCGAAGCTCCGTCTGAATCTCCTCCCCCCAGACACCAGTTTAAGACTCTAGCCTTGCTCCACCTCTTCCTCTGCTCTTTCCTCCTCTGGGTCCGCCTGTCCGCTGGGGTCTTGTCCTTCCTAGACTCTTCTGACGCTGAGTCCCCTGAGTCTTCCCCCTGCCTCCGGCGGGCTTTAGGACCTGGTTCCCAATCCGGGTTTTCTGCTGTCCCGCGCGCCTGTACATTTGAACTTGGCGCGCGCGCCCAGCCGGCCACCTTCCTCCTGACCGTTACACTGCTACTGTCACTGCTTTCCCCTTCGGGGATGCTAGCTGGGTCTGACCTTCCCTCCGTTCCCCCACTCCCCGACAGAGGCGTGGTCAGCCCTGACTCCTCTTCCCTCCCTGCTGGAGGAGACGCTGGCTCTGACCCATGGGACTCTTCCCCCCCACTACGCTCTGGTGGGGAAGCTGGTCCTGATCTCCAGCTACTGCTTTGGGAGTCTCCGCTGGCCCCTTGCTTCTGGTGCGTCCCCCCTGGGACCCCCCTTGCCCTGACCATCGGCGCCCCCTTCTGGGAATCTTCTGATTCACTGGAGAGGCTCAGGGAATCTCTCGGGTCACTGTCATTCTCCCCTCCGCTGCCCTCAGATTCTTCCCCTTCGCTCTCCATTTCCTCTCTCCCCTGTGCCTCTGCTCCTGAGCCCCTGACACATATTGTCAGGAAAGCACTATACAATGTTTGGATCCGCTATAAAGATTTATTGGAAAATAAAACCCCTAGGTGGTTGTCACCAATGGAAGCTAAGGAGGTGAAAAAACTTAACATGGAATCTAAATGGCCAAAATATTGTGAAATTTTAGAGCAAGATGGTGAAAAAGTTAAACTACAGAGCTATGAGAAATTAAAGTCTAAAGTACGAGATTGGCTTCATTACCTTCAGATAAATGAGGTATTCAAACAGGACAGGAAAATTGGCTTCCAGGTGGAGAGATCAAAACTAGAAACGGAATTGTTAGAACCCAATACTAAGAATTTGTCAAGAATGTATAACTTGCTGTTGAAGTGGAATACACAGGATGAAACAGTTAAATCAGCCATGATTAAGTGGGCACAAGATATTGGTCATGACATTATGTTTGCTGACTGGGAACAGTTATGGACCACCAGTATAAAGTTTACGGCATGTAATGCCTTAAGAGAGAATATTATGAAAATGATTTATAGGTGGTACATGACCCCAGTCAAGCTTGCAAAAATCTATCATTTGCCCAATAATAAATGCTGGAAATGTAATGAGACTGAAGGTACCTTTTATCACCTTTGGTGGACATGCCCGAGGATTAAGGCTTTCTGGGAAATGATTTATAATGAAATTAAGAAGGTCCTTAAATGTACCTTTCATAAGAAACCAGAGGCATTTCTCCTGGGCATGGCCGGCCAATTGGTGTCAAGAAAGGATAGGACGTTTTTTATGTATGCTACTACAGCAGCAAGGATCCTCTTAGCAAAGTATTGGAAGACACAAGAACTACCCACGCTGGAAGAATGGCAGACGAAAGTGATTGACTATATGGGATTGGCGGAAATGACCGGCAGAATCCGTGACCAAGGAAAAGAGACGGTGGATGAAGATTGGAAGAAATTTAAAATTTACCTTACGAACTGTTGTAAAATTAATGAGTGCTAAAATGTCATGGTTAAGGAAAATATAGAATTACAGCTGTAAATTGATTAAGTAAGAGAAGAAAGGGGGGAGAAAAGAAAAAAAAGAAAATGAGTAATCAGTCAATTGAAAGCGAGGGGTTGCTGAAGAAATTTTGAAATAGGGATGCAGAAGGGGGAGGTATGGGGAAGTCGGGGAAGTAAGATTTATGAAAAAGAAGTTGGGAAATTATACGTGTTTTTATGTTTGTGTGTCTATGTATTGTTTATTGTATTGTTTTTAACTCATGTTGGAAAATTAATAAAAAATTTATATATATATAAAAAAAAGATAATTGACAGTGGAGCCGGCAGGCATCTCATAACAGCGACACCTAGTGTCGAGATGTGGAACTGCAAACCTGTTTCAGCTGGGAAAACAGTTTGTTTTGCAGATGGGTCACAAAAGCCTTTGTCTAATGTTGGAAATGTTTATGTTTCTGTCTTGCAGGTGCAGCTGGAAGTCTTCCTGGCACCTGGGATAAAACATTGTCTTTTATCTGTCCCTTGTCTATTACAGGAGGGGTATAAGGTTTGCTTTGAGAAGAATGTCTGTACAATTTCCAGAGGGGGGAAGCAACTGGTCAGTGTTGCAAAAGGGCAGAGCGGCCTCTTTATTCTGGAAACACCTCTGGAGGGTGAGGGGAATGCTGAGAAAGCACAGGCACAGTGTGCAACCGTTCACACTCATGTTTCATGTGCTTGCGTGTGGCACAAGAGAATGTCACATGGTTCTTGTGAGGACATCCAGATGTTGCCGGAGTGCACCAAAGGTTGCAAAATAAGAGAATGTGGTAAACCTCTAAAGTGCAGGGCTTGCAGGAAAGCAAAGGTAAAGGGATACAATTATCCCAGGGTGGAAAGGGTAACCACGAAACCTTTTGAGCTTGTGCACGCAGACCTGTTTGGGCCCATGCCAAAGCCAAGTCTGGGCGGGGCCAGGTTTGTGCTGACGCTGTCAGATGATTTTACCCAGAACGCATGGGTATTCACGCTGAGAGCTAAGGAAGAGGCAACGCAACTGATCAAAGATTGGATTGTGGAGGTGGAACTACGGTTCTCCACCAAGGTGCAGGGGTTCAAGAGTGACCGAGGTTCAGAGGTCACTGGGTCTGCTCTAAAGAGTTTCTTTCGGCAGAAAGGGATACGTCACATGGTGACGGGTGCCACTTCTCCTCAGGAGAAGGGAGTGGCAGAGCTTAGGAGTAAAGCTCTGGTTCAAGCAACAGAGGTTCTACTGTATGACTCTGGTTTGCCTCAAGGTTTTTGGGCTGAATCGATAAAAGCTGTGAATTTCACGAAAAACAGGTCCTACAATTCAGTGGTAGGAGACACCCCGCATTTTATGCTTCACGGAGAGAAGCCGAACCTGCATTTCCTCCGTGTGTTTGGTACGAAAGCCTTGGTGCCTGTACCAAAGTTTCAACAGAAGGAGGGTGGTCCAAAGTACCAGAAAATGATCTTCTGTGGGTATGAACCTGCGACAAAGGGGTGGAGGTTTGCATATCCAGAAGGTGATCAGTCCAAGCTGATAGTCAGTAAACATGCTGAGTTCTGTGAGCAGGATGGTTGGTCAAGGCGCAAAGCGAGCCCTGACGTTCACTCAGAATGTCTGTCTGATTCTGAGGATGAGGGAGAGCCAGAGGCTGAACCTGATGATGAGGACCAGGTCCATGACCAGGGTCAAGAACAGGGTTGGGCGTCTCCACAGGTTGTTAAAAGAGAGCCCAAGAGTGAGCCTTCATCTCCTGTTAGCATAACGCAGAAGGCTCACAGACGGAGTAAGTCAGAGGGGGAGTCTGATGTAGAAGACACACTTGTTGGCCCCAGTGGGTCAGAAGCAGCATCTGAGTTTGTACCCAGACGGTCTTCTCGAGCAATGAAGGGAGTTCCACCTGAGAAGTTTCAGGTCACCAATGCGTGGGTTGGTTTCGCACAGTGCGAACCTGAGAGTTTTGAGGAGGTTCAACAGTTGCCTGACAAAGACACCAGGAAGGGGCGAAAGGCAATGGGGAAGGTGTTGAACTCTCAGAGGTCTGTAAATGTGGGTTCACAGTTCCCCTCAGAATGTAAGGCGAGAGGGGGTGTGGGGAGAATCAGAACTTACAGGGTTAAGAAGTTCTGAGTGACGTCTCACATTCTGAGGCGTGGCTTTGTACACAGAGGGGAGTGTTTCTGTGTCTCAGTGTTGTTCCGGTTTGTCCTAGCGGAGAGACGCGCAAGATGAGCGCTCGATCACCAGGAGAGTTATGAGTTGTTTTTCTACACGATTAAAGACTGGAAAGAGATAAGCAAGAACGCTTGAGTGCAGCTTGATTTATTACACACACACAGCAACAGTTTCTACGCTGCGTACACTCTGCTACAGGTAGCTGACGGGAGAGCTGAGGGGAGCGCGCAGAGGAAGCGTGTGGACTCCAGCCAAGAGCTACATATTTGGGAGGGAAGTAAAGCTGAATGGCTGCGTTGCGAAATGCTGCATGTCTAAAAAGTGTGTCACCAACATGGAAAGTTTGGAAAGCTCTGCTGTGGACAGTATGAGGTTGGGGGACATGGTAAACTTCCATTTTTTCACGTAGTGTGCATGCAAGGTTTTTGTATCAGCGTCAGGCAAGTAGGTTCTTCCATTCATTTATCAGTTTTCGTTGGCCGAGGGACATGGCAAGGAAGTGGAATCTGCAATACACAAAACACGACTCCAGAACCCCACCACCCGCCTTGCCTCAATCAAAGAACACCCCCCCCCGTTAAATATTGCCCTTTCCGCATCTCCTTTCAAATTTCTCCCAGGCTGCCAGAACGGAGGCGATCTTTCCCCGGTGGCGGAATTCTACCCTGAGGATACAAATTCTCTGCAAATATCCTTTTTTCCCTTCCCTCCCAGTTCACTGGGCCGTGCGGGGGTTGGGGATGGAGTCCAGAATTTCGTTTTCCTTAACTGTTCTTCCCTCTACCATTTCTCCCTGGAGGAAACTCCTCTCAACAAACTCAAGATCACCTTTGAAAACAGCACGGATTTCTTCGGACGGGTGATTGTCTACCAGCTTGATGTTCGTGGGGTGAAACTTTGACTCTGGAAGTCCTCATGTGCCCTTTTTTTTTTTTTTTGGTGCCTTTTTCACAACAGCCAAAACCTCACAAATCCGATTCTGCAGTTGTTCTGCAACTTGAGGACATCCCATAAGTTTACTTACGGCGGGAATGCAAGTTGTAACAATAAAAAGACATATAACGAATAGTGAACAATAATTTATTTTGTATTTTTATGCCGGGATATTCATTCCTTTATTTAAAAAGAAAGCTCTTCACAGCTGCTCACCTGGAGTCCTGGTTCGCCCTAGGCGAGCGGAAATAAGCAAGCCTGCTGTTTAAGACAAGCACAGTGTAGCAGGGTCACCTGCTTAGCAGTTTCAGCAAGTATTCTAGGGACAGAATAGTTTCTTCCATTAATCGGGGGTGTTCAGTTGTTGCCATTTCAAATTTTAAAAGTATGGTACGTAGTACTTTTTTTTTGGTTCGGGAATCTGCAAAATTCTCTCTCCCATCGCACGCATCCCAGCTCAGAACAGTTTGCAAACGGCAGTGGGGGAAATATCAGGTGCCTTCTTATTTGCAGCTTGGCTTGCTTCTGCGAGCCACCTGGAGTTCCTTTGCCTCCGGAAACTTCTCCTCTGGCTGGAGTCCAGAGTCTGGATTTCAGGGGTTCTGAATAGTTCTGGTGCTTAGTGGTCATCAAGTTGATAAATGAGACCTCCGGGTATTGGGCGGTATAAAAATTCAATAAATTAATAAAAAATAGCAAGCTGATGGCAACAAGCAGGTTGGGGGGGGGGTCGTGTCTTGCCGTCAAACCTAACCCCTCCACTGCCCCCTCTTTCCACGAGGGCTGTAGCGAACTTTTTAAAGCCCGGTGACTCAAATATCCAACCCTGTCTCATGTGCCTCAGATCAGCCGCTCAGTGCAGAAGGCTTTCCCTTGATTCCACCTTCAAAGCAGAGAGGAAAATGGTGGGGGGCAGGGAGAAGGTCCTCCCCCCCCCCCAGTCTGACAAGAAGTCCTGTGTCACTCAGGTTCTCTGCTCCGCAACAACTTGAGGATATGTTTTTCCATCACGTGTTGCACTAGGGAAGGGAGAGGGAAAGCATAGAATGAATTGATTGACTTGCTTTTAAAAAAATAAAATACAGAATTCCAGTTTACATTTATCTACTTCATTAAATTTATGCACTTGTTGATTTATTTCTTTAAAAAAAGAAAGAATTTCAACTTATATTTACTTATGTCAATAAATTTATGCACTGCTTGATTTTTCCCCTTAAGTCCCCTCAAAGTGGTTTTAAAAAGGTAAAGGGACCCCTGACCATTAGGTCCAGTTGTGACCGACCCTGGGGTTGTGGCGCTCATCTCGCTTTACTGGTCGAGGGAGCCGGCGTACAGCTTCCGGGTCATGTGGCCAGCAGGACTAAGCTGCTTCTGGCGAAGCAGAGCAGCACACGGAAACGTCATTTACCTTCCCGTCGGAGAGGTACCTATTTATCTACTTGCACTTTGACATGCTTTCGAACTGCTAGGTTGGCAGGAGCAGGGACCGAGCAATGGGTGCTCACCCCGTCATTGCGGGAATTTGAACCGCCGACCTTCTGATTGGCAAGTCCTAGGCTCTGTGGTTTAACCCACAGCGCCACCTGCGTCCCTCAAAGTGGTTTTACAAGCAGCTTAAAAGAATAAAGACAATAAAGCGTAAAAACAACTCTTGCTGATGTTATCTTTGGAATGCTTTAAACCAGGGTTTCCCAAGCTTGGGTCTCCAGCTGTTTTGGGATGGGAACTGCAGTCCAAAAACAGCTGGAGACCCAAGTTTGGGAGACACTGGTTTAAACTAAAAACAGGTCAAAACAGACATCAGCATTCCTTGCGTTTATATACACTTTCATTTCCCTCAAAGTGGTGACCATTTTTCTCTCCTCTGCCACCACATTTAATCCTCACACAACAACCCTGCCAGGTAGGTCAGGCTGGGAGAGGCCGTGACTGGCCCCCAAGGTCACCAGCCAGCGAGCTTCATGGCCAGTGGATTTGAGCCCTGTTCTCTCCCAGGTCCTTGTCCCACTCTCTAACCACTACGCCCCACTGCCTCTTTTACACACTTGGTGTGTGGGTGAGGGCGATAAAGGGCCTCCTTGCGAGGATGCAAGCCTGAAATGCTTTCCCAACCCACGCTTGGAGGTTCTCCGCCATTCTAAGGTAGCTGGCTCTGTCCATGGAGGCTCCATTGAGGAATCGGAAGAAACTAAGAAGGGACCCCCACCTTGCCCAGTCTCCTGGATGCCCTAACGGGAAGCCCCCCACAAGCGGAAGGCCCTCATGAGCACCATGGCCCCTTGACGTGTGACCCTCTGGCCCCTCCCATGTTTCCGAACCCACCTTTCTTGTGTCCCAGAGCGACTGCCAGGTCCATCGGGGTGTATCCTGAATCTGCCTCGGTTGTGAGATCAGCACCGTGGGCTGAGAAGAGGGAAGGGAGACAAATATTTGATGTATTTTATTTTAGTGCTATGTTCTTCTTTTTTAAAAAAAAACTTTACACACACATTCTTTATTAAAGTCCAAAGACCCACAAAAGCAATTTCAAAAGCAAATACATTCCTAGGCAGCCACTGTGTTTTATCCAGAGTGTGTTGATTTCTATTTCGTATTACCTCAGAGAGAAATTTTGCCACGGCCAGGGTAATATCATTTGCCTCAAGGCGATACATGAGATAGGAGGTTTCAGGATTTCCAGGCAAGTTTGCCGATAAGGGTTTAAATAATTGGTTCCTGCCTTGTTTATGCAGCCCAGAATGTAGTAAGAGATGTCCACAGGTTGCATGTGATCACTGTATGCAATGTCCCATAGTCCCCAAGGATTTAAGGGCAATATCATAACCCAAAATATATTTCATACAACAGACAGAGTGAGAACACAGGCAGAGTCTATTCTGATACGGTCTACCAGTCAGTCTGCCGTTTAGGGCTTCAGATGGGAATACATTTAATCTGGGTTTGGGCTGGGTGTTCACCAGCATGTGGATGATAAAGGTAAAGGGACCCCTGACCCTTAGGTCCAGTCGTGGCCGACTCTGGGGTTGCAGTGCTCATCTCGCTTTATTGGCCAAGGGAGCCGGCGTACAGCTTCCGGGTCATGTGGCCAGCAGGACTAAGCCGCTTCTGGCAACCAGAGCAGCGCACGGAAACGCCGTTTACCTTCCCGCCAGATCCACCTATTTATCTACTTGCACTTTGACGTGGTTTCGAACTGCTAGGTTGGCAGGATCAGGGACTGAGCAACGGGAGCTCACCCCGTCGCGGGGATTCAAACTGCCAACCTTCTGATCAGCAAGCCCTAGGCTCTGTGGTTTAACCAACAGCGCCACCCGCGTCCCTACTTGCAGTAGACCCACTGAAATCAATGGACCCACTTTACTAACACTCAGGAGGAAGGCCCCATTGGTTGACCCCCTCGTTCTCAGCTGTGGCCGAAAGGAGGCAAACTTGGCTTCTCCATCCGAAAATGAGATTGTCGCTCAGGTACGGAAGCACCTTCCCCCGACACCACTTACCTAGCAAGGCCTCAATGCATTTGACGTGGTTCCCGCGCACGGCATAGAGGAGAGGGGTCCCGCCGTTCTGCGGAGGCAACCGAAAAGCATCAGCACAAGGAGGAAAACACACACACACCCCACACTTTCTTAGGTAAATAGGCAAAAAAACTGAAAATCCTTTGATAAAAGATACCATTGATATTTAGTTGGAATATAAAAGAAAAGTGAAGATATAAAAGGAAACCAGTGAAATTTACAAAATATTAGTAGAATCGGAGAAATGGCCTGGCTCAGAGGGCTGGCACTCCGAGCAGGTTGCTGGCATCCCACCCATCTTGAGAGCCCTTCCTCTAAAAATAAATCAAGGTTCTAGTCCTCAGCTTTCTGGAGAGAGTGTTTCCCAGTCTTCCCTAGAGATGCCCTCTGTATGCACAGACGGTGCTCTGACGGCTAAGCTGCAGCCCTTGCCCTTAACAACAAAACAGGTTTCCAGACCTCATGGTTCTGAGTACAGGGCTGATTTACATAGGAAGCTCTCTTTTACTGACTCCCTCTCATTCAGGGCTGTCTACACAGACTGGCAGCTGCTCTCCGGGGTTTCAGGGGATGCCCCCAGCCTTCTCAGGGTCTTCTGGATACAAATCAGATGCTCAACCTTCCCCTAGAAATAAATCTTGCAGTAGACCCACTGAAATCAATGGACCCACTTTACTAACACTCAGGAGGAAATAAATCAAGATTCTAGTCGTCAAGAGTCTGAAGCAGCAGCAGGGCAGAATTGGACAGGAAGCTGCCTTCTACCAAATTAGACCACCGACCTGCCTAGCTTAGCGCTGTCCACATTGGCTGGCAGCATCTCTCCAGGTGTTCACTTTCCTAGCCCTGACTGGAGATGCCATCAGGAATTGAACCTGGAACCTTCTGCATATAGAGCCCCTCTCCTATCCTACTTCTTAGGGGCATTGAGAGGCTGAAAACTGGCCGAAATGTGGCAGGGGGTCAGCAAACTTTTTCAGCAGGGGGCCGGTCCACTGTCCCTCAGACCTTGTTGGGGGTCGAACTATATTTTGGGGTGGGGGGAGAACGAATTCCTGTGCCCCACAAGTAACCCAGAGATGCATTTTAAATAAAAGGACACATTCTACTTATGTAAAAACATGCTGATTCCCAGACCATCTGCGGGCCGGATTTAGAAGGCGATTGGGCTGGATCCGACCCCTGGGCCTTTGTTTCCCTACCCATGGACTTTCAGCCTTTCTCAACCTGTGGGTCCCCAGATGTTGTTGAACTACAACTCCCATCACCCCTAGCTAGCAAGGCTCAGGGATGATGGGAGTTGTAGTCCAACAACATCAGGGGATCCACAGGTTGAGAACCGCTGGATTAGATGATCCTCAGGGTCTCTTCCAACCATAAAAATGCTGCAACCCTTTCCCATTGGGAAGTCGTCCTATCCTCTGGCTCGCTGGGGCTGCCCTTTCCGGAACCTTTCCCAACTCTGCAGTATCCTTGTTGAGACAAGGCAGATCTGTCTAGGTGCTTTGGCTGTTTGAACTCAGGCCAAAATAATCCTGGTTTCTGCATCAGGCAGATGCAGCGTTCCTGTTAAATCAGCCCTTCCTTTGCCTTCATGAGGACTGGAATCCTGGGCGATGTAGGTATTCCCATTTACAGCCAAGAGGTGGCAGAGGAGGGCGACCAAGATGATCAAGGGTCTGGAAACCAAGCCTGATGAGGAACGGTTGAAGGAGCTGAGGGTGTTTAACCTGGGAAAGGGGAGATATGAGAGCCATCTTCAAATATCTCAAGGGCTGTCAGAGGGAAGATGGAACAAGCTTGTTTTCTCCTGCTCTGGAGGGCAGGACTCGAACCAATGTCTTCAAGGAAGACATTTAGCAAGAACTTCTGACAGTAAGAGCTGTTCAAGCATGGGATGGAAGGTGGTGGCCTCTCCTTCCTTGGAGATTTTCCAGCAGAGGTTGGGTGGCCATCTGTCCTGGATGCTTGAGCTGAGATTCCTGCCTTGCAGGGGGTTGGACTAGATGACCCTTGGTGGCCCCTTCCAACTCTACAATCCTATGGTTCTATGAATGCGGGGCCTGCCGAAAGCTGATTCAGGTCGGCAGGGCCATACCTGCCCCCCTTCCACCCACCGATGCAAAAGTTACCCAGTCGTAAGTGTTGATGTCCACGTCCTTCTCCAGGAGTAAGGTGACGATGTCCGTGTAGCCCCCCATGCTGGCGAGAGACAGGGCGCTCTCCCTCTCCTTTGCAAGGACGTGGGGGTCTGCGCCCTGGGGAGAGAGGACACACAGGGCTGCAGCCGCGGCAGGGAAAATGCAGGTGACCCCTGCGCTTCTCCCTGCCCACCGCACGTTCCTTACCCATTCCAGCATGCTGCGGATGGTCTCAATCTCTCCAAAAGCCGCGGCCCACATCAGAGGCGTGAAGCCCCGCTCGTCGGGCTTGTTTAAAAGGTTCTCACCTGTCAACATTTCCAAAATTAGGGAGTTCATTGACACAGCAGTAGGAAAGTTCAGGAGTCTTCATGTAGGCCGCAGAACAGTCTTTCCCAGCTAAGCGAATTAAGTCATTTCATGGTAGCATTTGGTTTTACAACAGATTTCTCTCATTCTCTGCACGGTTTGTTTTTAATTTTTGTGATTTTCCTGCACACTGGCTGGAATGGCTAATGATTTATTCAGGGGTCAGCAAACTTTTTCAGCAGGGGGCCGGTCCACTGTCCCTCAGACCTTGTGAGGGGACAGACTAGATTTTTGGGGGGGGGGAATGAACGAATTCCTATGCCCCACAAATAACCGAGAGATGCATTTTAAATAAAAGGACACATTCTACTCATGTAAAAACACGCTGATTCCTGGACTATCCATGGGCCAGATTTAGAAGGCGATTGGGCCAGATCCGGCCCCCGGGCCTTAGTTTGCCTACCCATGATTTAAGCGGTGTGATGGGGTGGTGATAATTAATAAACTAAGGGGGCAGAGGAAGCATAAAAAAGAAAAGAATAAAAATTGGAAAAAAACGTGTTTCATCTGTTGTGTAATAACACTTACTGCCAGGCCAGACACTGTTGCAGGACAATGACAACATAATTTTTATTTTCATATTATCGTTATCTTAATTTTCTGTGTATAATGTGAATGTTATTATGGTTAATTTTAATGAATAATTTTATAAACTTAAGCTTCAAGGAGTCTTATTTACAGCAACAGATTTCTTCACTATATTGCAGAATGCAGGTAGAAATAAAGATCCCTAAAAGAACACAAATTTGTCATGGCATCTTTCTGTTTCTTCACTTAAAGAAAGTAGTTTTCCAGGGGGGCACTAAGTATTTTTTTTCTGAAGGGGGGGGGAGCCCAAAGAAGTTTGGGAACCTCTGTGGTAGATGAATGTCCTCAGTATTGAAATATGAAGTTCCCTCAGATCCAGTATCCCTCAGAACTATGTCGCCTATCATAGAGAAAGAATCTAGTCAAATTCAAGTAGGTTTTGAGGAGGGTTATTTGAAAGAAGAAATATTGCACTGATATGTTAAGTGTTGCAGAATAATGATTTGGAATAACCTTGCCTGGAGGAGAATTTTGCTGATCGTTGTAAATAGCTGTCAAATGATTAAATAAAATAAATGTTTTTAAAACACCTTAAATAAATAAACCAACCCTGTGAGGCACACTCTCGCTAGTGGGCAGGAAGTCAGAAGCGGGTGGAGGGGGGGGCTGGGTGTTCCTATCTCACCTTTCCTCAGATTTTCTTTCAACAGGACCAGTTCTCCCTGGGCTGCCAGCTGATGAATAGAAAGAGCTGGAAAAGTAAAAAACAAACGAACAGGATTTCATTGGGAACTGAAATAGGGAATAGAATGCAGTAGGAGGCTGCACAGAACCCAAATTCTGAGCCAGTTTTTGCAAAATGATTGACCTGTTTTATAAAATATGCAATGGTATTCAAACCATTCTTGTCTTTGCATAATTAATCCTCATAGGGAGGGGGGAAGCAGAGAACTGACGCCTTTCATGATCGCTAGAAATGTCATTCACTGGCAACCATGAGGGATGGAAACTTGACTTTTGGATTAATGCCTTTAAAAAGAAATGAAATAAAATGGCCTGAGGAGTGGAGGGCAGATTTGATCTTGAGCCCTCTGTTCATGAAGGGGAAAAGAACGGCTTGGTGGGTGTTAGAGACCATTGGGAAGTCGATTAAGAGAGAAAGCAGCACAAGAGAAGCATAAAACCCACAACACTGTAATTAAGATTCCTGTGCTCTACCAACTCAGTTAATCCTGAACCTTGACTGATTTTTAACAAAAAACAAATTGATTTCCCCCTTCAAGGTGCTAGTCTTCTTGAACAACAACAAAAGTGTATAGCCCGTCAGTTTACCAAGTGGTTTGGGAAGTCAGTTCAGAGGAAAAGCAGCACAACAGGATCATGAACTTTGGCTGATCTTAACAAGGGGCTAGTCCTCTTGAGCAACAGGGGGGAAATGTATAAATGGGGGAGAACTGAAGCCACCTTGGCTTCAACTGATTCACAGCCCCCGCCCCCCATTCCCCAGCTAATGGAAAGCAAAAATGTTTTGTGGCACAACAACTCACTGTCCAGAGTGGCCGGCAAGGCAGATGCCTCGTTGCCACGCTGCCGGTTGGTCAGGGTGGTTGCCAGCTTCAGACTGCTTCCATCTGCATTTTTGAAGACAGACAGACAAAAGATGTTAAACCTGGAACCTTCATTTTTCAAGGACCGCTTCTCTCCATGTGAACCAACCTGGACCCGGCAATCACCACCTGAGGCCCTTCTACATGTGCCTCCTCTGTGAAAAGTCCAGAGGGTGGCCACACAAGAACGGGGCCTTTTCTGCGGTGGCTCCCTATAATGTGGGATGCTCTCCCCAGGGAGGCTCGCCTGGCGCCTTCGTTACATATCTCTAGGCACCTGGGGAAAACATTCCTCTTTTCCCAGGCCTTTGGCTAATTAAACAAATTAAAAGGTATACACATTAAAAGTGAAATGAAATGAAATATCCTTTTTGAGGAGAGGCGACCGGGTTTGAAGACTTGCCATTTGGTGCAGGAACAGCTTGGTTCGGGTCGTCTTTCTCCTCCGAGTACGGATACAGCCGCAAGATGACTGATGCCTGATCGTCCTCCTGGTCGCTGGCGGGCATCTCTGGGTCCTTTGAGGGGGCGTTGTGGGTCATTTCGGCGACAGGAGCTTCTGGAGAAATTGTGAAGGGGTCTATGGCGGCGGCAGGTCTACAGCGCCCTGAGAGCTTTGACACAGCAAAGAAACAGGAACACAAGAGACTGCCCTCAGACAGAGTCAGACTGTTGGTCGACCTGCTTCTGGCCGACCCTGACTGGCAGCTGCTCTCCAGAATCCAGGCACGTCTGTGTCATTGGGCATCGCACCAGGGATGCAAAGCAAAGTGCTCTGCCACTGAGCTGCGGTCCTTTCTTCAAAATTAAAAAGATTCTAGTCCTCATTATTCTTCTGAAAGCTGCCTTGTACTGGGTCAGGTGGGGGGCATTCCCAACCTCACCAGCAGATGCCCAGGACTGAACCTGGGACCGTCTTCAGACAAATCGTGCATTCTGTGGGAAGGGCCATAGCTCAGGGGTTAAGGATGAGGTGATAGTCCTCATGGTTCCAAGCCTTTTGGCTGGTTAACAGGAGCAAAGGAAGTTTATGGACAGTCAGGCCACTGGTCCACCAAGCTCAGGGCTTCCAGTACTGACTGGCTGGAGCTCTCCCGTATTTCAATCTCAGAGGGAGCCTCTCAAATTCCTACCTGGAGAACTGAACCCGAGGCCTACTGCATACAAAGTATTATAATTATATTTTTATTTTATTATTATTTTATACCCTGCCCAACTCTACTCTGATCTGTTTACAACCCTTCTGAGGTCACCCCCGGGCCAAGTCTTGGAGGGATTTCCTGCCTCCAACATGTGACGTAAGAACTCACCAGCCTCTCCCATTAGAAGGGCGATGACGTCAAGTTTACACATAGCCCTTTATCAAAGGTTGACGATCATGGTGCCGCCAGATCCACTTTGACGCATCTCTTTGCTCTCTCTGCCCGTCCGCGCAAAACTGAAAGTAACTTTCTCTTCCCACAATGCATTTGCAGCCGCTCCCGCGGGGTGGCGGTGGAGGCCTGGCCCTTTAAGAGCTTCTGAATGAGGTTGCGGAAGCCGGTATTGTTATGAATGAGCGGCGCAGCTCAGCCTCCGCCCCGCCCTCCAGCTCCGCCAATCACCGGCCACTAAGAGGAAGCGCTTCCCCCAAAGGACGGTTTAAAGGGCCAGCCGTTCAATTGTTTTCTTTTTTTAAAACCCTCTAGAAAATTTGGTTTTGATTATGCTTTAATGCATTGTACTTATTCAATGTATTTATTAGACCGCTGTTCTGAGCCAACGCCCGTCCATAGCAGCTTCCAATTGAAAACAATAAAATATTGTTTTTATTACCCTATAAAACTGTTTTTAAAAAATATTTTATTTTTTACAAAATACTACAAAATTTAAAAAGTTAAAACACTCCACATAAACTTTAACAGCTGCCATCCTCAGAACCAATGAGCACTGAAGATGACCCAGAGGCTTTTACATGTTTTATCAGCAGGCAGCTATTGAACTGGTCCAGCCCCCTGCAGGCTGTAGTGATAATCTCTTCCGTCCTTTGTCACCCTAGTGCCTCTCAGATGGTTTGAACTACAGCTCCCATTAGCCTCAACCAGCATGAGGGTCTACGCTGAGTAGAACCTCAATGGTCTAAATCATACCCAGAGTAGACCCATTGAAAGGAATAGCTTGCATCGAACTCAGTCCTACTCAAAAATTAGACCCACTGAAAGCAATGGACCTAAACTGGTCACTTCTATTCATTTCAGTGGATCTATTCAGTGGCGTATCACAGAATCATAGAATTGTAGAGTTGGAATGCAGACCCTCCAAGCATCCCTATTTTCCAGGGACAAACCCGGATTTACAGGAGCTGTTCCAGTTTCTCACATGAACCTGGAATGTCCCGCTTTTCCTTAGGAAGCCCCTATTTTCACTGAAGAAACGTTGAAGCGTATGGAATTATGCAACCCCTGAGCCAATGAGATAGGTAACTATATAACCTTTAGAAGAAATCTGAAGGCAGCCTTATATAGGGATTTTTTGGTTAATGTATAATGTTTTATTCTGTTTTTATATATGTTGGAAGTCACCCAGAGTGGCTGGGGCGGCCCAGTCAGATGGGTGGGATACAGATAATAAAATTATTACTGTACTATTTTAAGGGAATAGGATGTCCCTTTTTTCATCAGAGAAATGTTGGAGGATATGGGAAGGGACCCTCAGAATCATCTAGTCCAACCCCCCGCAATGCAGGGATACGCAGCTGTCCCTTATGGGGCTCGAACTTGCAACCTTGGCGTTATCAGCACCACGCTCTGACCAACTGAGTAATCCATTTGACCTATAGTATGAAAAGTTTGAAAACTTTCAAGGGGAAAATGAAAGAGAGGTCATTTGCAAAGGCACCCGTTTCTGTGCCAGACAAATCTAAGGCCAGCTGAAATTCTAAAGGCGCATATTAGGGAGTAAGCCCCATTGAACCCTGGTGGCCTCACTTTTGAGTAGCCATGCATTTATTGGCCAGAGTGGGGAAACTCCTGCGTTCAGCCAGGAGGGACCTCCAAGGCCCCTGATGGCTGGTCTGTCTCGACAGACAATGGAGTGCGCCTCCAGGGGTGAAGCCAGCCAACCGCCTTGGGGACTCCATTCCGGATTTCTGGGGGATATCCAGTACTCCTGAGCCTGCTCTCCTCCCGAAGGGATCCCCGGTGGAGAGTTGGGGGTCAGAGTTTCCCTTCTCCCCAACAGTCGAGCCCCGTCCGCCCCTCACTTCCCTCGACAGCGCCCAGGGGGAACCTTTCTCACCGGACGGTGTTTCCGAGCGGCTCCCCTTTCGGCGCTGCACGCGGCCCGTCGGAAGTGGCCCGGCAGCTGTCCTCCTTGTCCGGTGCCGAGGCCCGCTTTCCCCTCCGCCACTTCGGGCTCTCCCGGGGATCATGGAGGAGCCGGAGATGCAGCTCAAAGTGAAGAAAGGTAGCGGCGGAGGAGCCACTTCCGGTGGTGTCGCGCCCAAAGGCGTCCGGGCAGGAATGGGGAGGGAGGGAGGGAGGGGGCGTGAAATGATTCGCAGGAGCGCAAAGCCGCAGCCCAGATGTGTGTGTTTGTTTTAGGGAAGCGCCTAAAAAGCGGCCCCAGCCCCTCTTTTCCCAAGCTCATGCCTTCAAACGGAACGCCATGCGTCAAGAGCGCCTCTGAGCCTGTGCAGATAGCATTCCCCTGGCAGAAAGCCGCCTTCTCTCGTGGACACGCTGGAGCCCCGGAATGTCCTGCATGAGCAGGGAAACGATCTTTTATTGATGATGATGATTATTATTATTATTATTATTATTATTATTATTTTATTTATACCCCGCCCATCTGGCTGGGCTTCCCTAGCCACTCTGGGCGGCTTCCAAAAAATATTAAAATACTATAATACATCAAACATTAAAAGCTTCCCTGAACAGGGCTGCCTTCAGATGTCTTCTAAAAGTCTGGTAGTTGTTCTTTTCTTTGACATCTGGTGGGAGGGCGTTCCACAGGGCAGGCGCCACCACCGAGAAGGCCCTCTGCCTGGTTCCCTGTAACTTGGCCTCTCACAATGAGGGAACTGCCAGAAGGCCCTCAGCGCTGGATCTCAGTGTCCGGGCAGAATGATGTGGGTGGAGACGCTCCTTCAGGGATACAGGACCGACGCCATTTAGGGCTTTAAAGGTCAGCACCAACACTTTGAATTGTGCTCGGAAACGTACTTGGAGCCGATGTAGATCCTTTAGTGTTATATGGTCCAGATGGCTGTTTCCAGTCACCCGTCTGGCAGCCGTATTCTGGATTAGTTGTAGTTTCCGGGTCACCTTCAAAGGTAGCCCCACGAAGAGCGCATTGCAGTAATCCAAGCGGGAGATAACCAGAGAATGCACCACTCTGGCCAGACAGTCCGCAGGCAGATAGGGTCTCAGTCTACGTACCAGATGGAACTGGTCAAGCAGCTGCCCTGGACACAGAATTGACCTGCGCCTCCATGGACAGCTGTGAGTCCAAAATGACTCCCAGGCTGCGCACCTGGTCCTTCAGGGGCACAGTTACCCCATTCAGGACGGGGGAATCCTCCACACCTGCCCACCTCCTGTCCCCCCAAAACAGTACTTCTGTCTATTATTATTATTAAATCATATTTAATCCACAGAAAGAATAATAACATTATTCTTTCATTAGTATTAATATTACGACGTTGTAATTACCTTTATGTCAATAGTATGTAGCAGGGGGGAACAGATTCATAGCCATTCCCACCTGTGTTTATTGTGGGGGGGGGTGGCGGCACAGTTGTGTTGCATTGGAAATGGCTTGCATTAGACCCATTGAAAGCAATGGCCCTGTGAGGTGGGTGAAGAGGTCACCCAGTGGGCTTCATAATGGAGTGGGGATTCGAACCCTGATCTCCCAGGTCTTTGCCTGACACTCTCACCACTACACCCCATTGGCTAGACCCCACTGGCAATGATGCAGGTCTATAAATTAAGTAGGTAAAGCAAAATGTCACTTAGAGAAGGATCTGAAAAAAATTCCTGGAAGCCTGAATCTGTTTTCATAGAATCATAGAATCATAGAATCATAGAGTTGGAAGAGACCACAAGGGCCATCGAGTCCAACCCCCTGCCAAGCAGGAAACACCATCAGAGCACTCCTGACATATGGTTGTCAAGCCTCTGCTTATTCTGGATTGTTTTATTCTGGATTGTTTTATCTCAACCGCATTGTGATTTTCCCCCCTTTAAAATACAAATATTTTTCCTTTAAAATACAAAGCGTTATAGAAATGATAATAATAATAATCCCATTGCAAAAAAACATGGCACCTAGACATTTTGTTGTGACCGCAGCCTAGGTTTAATGTACCATTTGGTAAGTAGGTTATATATCTGAGTTTCTAACACTGGTAATGGTTGTAGTAGTACTGATGATGATGATGATGATAGCTGTCTGGAAAGGATTTCCTGGCTTGGCAATGAAGCTACAATTAAAATTAACATCTCCCCATTCTTCCTAGTGACAGACAAGTTTACGGAGAGCATGTATGTCTTGGCCAACGAACCTTCTGTGGCTCTGTATCGGCTTCAGGAGCACGTCAGGCGCTCCCTCCCGGAGTTGGCCCAGCATAAGGTATGGCACCTTTGAACCCAGGAGTGAGAAAACTCAAATGCCCACCATGCTTAATCATGGACCCTGCATTGCAGGGGGTTGGACTACATGGCCCTTGGGATCCCGTCAAATTCTGTGATTCACCAGCACCAGATCAGCTAGCTGAACCTGCCCCACTTCAGTGTACGTTTAGGGGTTGTGCGGGTTACTGCTTTAAACAGTCCTGCCTTTCTCCAAAGAATCCTGGGACCTGTGGGTTGTTGAATATAGGGAGGCCCTATATTCCCCTCTCAGAGCCAGTACTCGCAATTCTCCAAGCGCATTTTGTACCTGTCGGCCCTCTGCAACCGAGAGATTAGCTTATATGGTGCAGCTGTATAAATTAAGTAGGTAAATAAATATGGGAAAGCAAAATGGATGGCGCCTGATGTCTCCACCATCTGGAGGTTCATTCCTGGGGATCATTGGATCTGGACTGTTTTCACACACTAATACAAAGTCCTGTAGAATCTATCAGTTCTATTTTATCTGCACAATTGGAATGAATTTCAGGAACCAAAATGCCAAATACCTGAGCAGGAGTGGTGAACAATGTTATAGTTAATTGTTGTCGCTTGTCTTCACTTACCCCACTGCCCTACTTAGAGTTGGGAAGAATATTCCTACGTTATGAATGGTCCATGTCACCATTAAGAAAAAGAGGTTGGAATAGGCCAATAGATATGTGGACTGTCTCTGTATCAAGTGACTTTCTTCTTTAAGTTCTCAAAGCTCTTAACCAAGCTCAGGGTTGCCCTCTGAACTAGCCAGACGTTTAACTGAGAATCAATCAGTCCGTCCGTCATTTGAAAAATAAGACTTTAGAGGTGTCTTGCCTCAAAATGGCAACTGGACATTCCTTTCTGGCAACTGCAACCTTGGTTTAAGGAGCCATGTGGTGCCTGGCTCATATATCTGAGTTTTGAACACAGCCCAAAGCTCCAGTTCCCGGGGAAGAGGAATTGATTGTTAAATCATCTTGGGAATTGTAGCTCTGGGAGGGAGAAGATGGGTCTTCTAATAGCTCCCAGTACCATGAATGTACATTGGTACCTCGGGTTACAAACACTTCAGGTTACAGACTCTGCTAACCTGGAAGTAGTACCTCAGGTTAAGAACTTTGCTTCAGGATGAGAACAGAAATAGCGTGGCGCCAGTGGGAGGCCCCATTAGCTAAGGTGGTACCTCGTCCTAACAAACCCTGACTCCCCTCCAGGGAGCTTTCAGCCGCAGCGTCGGCACGCGCCGCCATCTTTGTAGGGAGCCAAGAGAGTTCTAAACGCAGCATAAGGGGTTTCTATAGTATAGTGTATTTTAAAATGGGGTTTCAGAGTTTTTAGGGGTTTTTGAATGTTTTATGTAGTTTTTCAATGTCATTGTTCTGCATGGGACAATGACAATAAAGATATCATATATCGTATACCTCAGGTTTCAGGTTAAGAACGGACCTCCGGAACGAATTAAGTTCATAACCAGAGGTACCACTGTAGTAAAATCTTTTATCAGAGAACCTGCCAGCCTTCAAATGTTGTCGCCTCCCAGTGTTCCAGTGGAGTCAGATAGGATGGATGAGTGTAGAAACATGAGCAAGCCCACAGTTAATGCTTGAAGTTTTATAGCGCTTTTATATTTTGCTGGAAAGAGCCCAGAGTGGCTGGAATAATCCAGTAAGAATTATAAAATTGTTGTTGTTGTTGTTATATTACTACTACTACTACTACAGGATTGCCAACCCTGCCTGCCCTCCATCAGGAGAGGGCCATTTCCCTCATCTCATTATATTTTGTATTTATTGATTATGTTTCTTTCTCGCCTTGTTTCCTCCAAGAAGCTCCAGGCAGCGTGTGTGGTTCTCCCTCTCCCCATTTTAGTCCTCAACAACCCTGTGAGGGAGGCAGTTGTTGTCATCGTTGCCATTATGGTACAGATTTGCGGGCTTCTTCATACAGCGAAGCCAGCCTTCGCAGCACAGAACCAGAGCGGGGTGCACAAATGCAAGCCCTGAAACCAGCCAACTCTAAAGCAACAAAACTATCCATGCTGAAAACGACAAAACCATTTCACCACATATAAAGCTTATTTTCCCATAAATAACTGGGTTACAGGGGCTGCTGGTGGTGAACACGAGTCTCTCCTCCGCCCCACAACCTCCTCACAACCCTCCTGTGAGGTAGGCTAGGCTGAGGGGCAGTGACTCTCCCCCAAGGTCACCCAGGGAGCTTCCTGGCCCAGTGGGAGGATTTGAACCTCGGCCTCCCAGGTCCTACATGTGCAGATCAGTCTCTGGAGGGAGGGGGTTGGTTCTTGCTAGGAAGGGGAGATGTTGTATGAGAGGGTATTTCGTTTTTTTTGAAAAGGGATAGAGAGTCAATACAGCAGGGAGGGCAGATGTTATCCGGGCTGCTTGTTCCCAAACTTATTTAAAAAGTCCCTTGTTTAATTTAGGGGCTTGTAATAATAGTGGTGCCGTAGGGAGAGCAGGGTTCTGGAAGAGAATGCTAGCGAAATGGAGAAGGTCACCCTGCTGTCTTTCTTCCTTAAAAAAGAAAAAATTCATCAAGGATTTATTCATCTTTTCCAACTAGGCAACATCTCATGGATAAGCTGTCCTGGCGAGAGAGAGGGATTTGTTATTCCCCAGTTCCGAGTTAAAGAAAGCAACCTCCTCCCTCTGTTTTCCCCCACCCCCCTTAGCTCTCTTTTGGGGACTGGGATCTGCTGTTTGTTCCTCCCCTGCCCCCTTAATGTGCCGTTAATTCCATTGTCTTGAGCATTAGCCAGCTTAAGCTAATGCAAGTCATCCAAGGGAGGCAATCTGAGATTTTTTGAATTTTCTGGACTTGGGGGGCATGAGTGTGTTTTGCATTAAGCCACAGCTACCTTTCATTCACCCCTTTAGTTTTTTAAAAAGAAGTTAATGGGCCTTTGGGGTTGGCATCCGTCTATCTCAGGAGACAATGGAGTGCACCTTTGAGGGTGAAGTCCAGCTGCTGGAAGGTTGCAGCACCTGAGACCAATGCGGGAGAGACATATTGCATTGCAGCCGGGGCAGATGAAGGCGTCTGGTTGTGCTGCTGCAGATGCACCAGGGCATTTCTTCTCTCTGTGCTGCTCCCGGCACAGTCACTCCTCCTCTCATCACTGCTATGGAATCAAACTGACTGCAGGCATCTTTGTAACGCAGAGTCTGCCAACGGGCCCACAGAGCACCTCCTTGGGGATCCGGCCATCTTCCATTCTGTGCACGTGGCCAAGCCGGAGTAGGCATCCCTGAGAGAGGAGTGCGAACAAGCTGGGAATGTGGGCGTGGGGGAGCCCATTTTGGTTTGAGACTCTGTCCTGCCATGCAATGCCCAAATCTTCCTGGTACAGCACCTGTGACCCAGTGTTAGAAACTCAGATATATAAGCTCATCGCCAAATGGCTCCTTGAGCCAAGGTTACAGTCGCCAAAGCAGAAGGCCTTGTAGCCATTTGGAGGGTGGTTGGCTCTAAAGTTGTCTTTTTCAGTACGACTTTTTGATTCTTTACATTTATTCTGATTGTGTGGATAGAATATAACGGATAGAATTCTACAGGATGGGGCCTTAGTGTGTGAAAACAGTCCAGATGGGGGAGACGTCAGGCCCCATCCTGGCACCCGGGCCTCTTCACTTGGTTGCAAGTGGCTGATAGCCAGGTACAAAATGCGCCTGGCAATTTTCGAGTGCAGCTGTGACCGTATAATAAATGTTTGATTGGCTAAGGAGTTTGTTTTCTCTGCAAAGGAGGTGACCCGTTGTGTCTCTGAACTTTGGCTTCTGTGGCTAAATCTGCTGTCCGTCTGCAGGGCTTTCTTGCAGATAAGTTCAGATATTTAAGCATAACAGGCCAGCCTTATTTTGGAGAGGTCGGAGGCTGCCCATTGCCCCTCTGAATGACTCATGCAATTGTAGACCCCCTAAGGGTCGCTGCAGCCTTTTCTCCTTGGGTAGTTTGTGACCAGAACCCCCACCCCACCCCAAAAGCACTAGGGTTGGTCTTTGGACGTGCTGCATGGCAGTGTTTAGCGCATCAGGCTAGAATTGAGGAGACCCAGGTTGCTTCTTGGAGATCATCACCCTGTCACCTTTTCTCCTTGCAGGCCGACATGCAGAGCTGGGAGGAGCAAAGTCAAGGGGCCATCTACACCGTGGAGTACGCTTGCAGGTACTTGGGGGAAGCCTTCAGGGCTGCATCCCTTTCCCAAAGGTCCTTCCCAAGCACCCATAGATAGGCTGCGGTTGGGGGGAAGGCAGCAGAGGGCCTCCGCTATTGATCCCCATTTCCATGGCTAACTGTACTAAGCTGAAACCAAAACCCACACTGCTTAAAATTAGAATTCAGACTTCCAGGTATCTCATCGCAGCTATGAGAACTCGGAACTTGACATGCAATTCAGAAGTCTAGTGAAGGGAAGCTATAGTCCCGCTCTGCTCTGCCTTGGTCAGAACCCACCTGGAGTCCTGTGTCCTGTTCTGGGCTCCACAATTTGAGAAGGATATTGACAAGCTGGAAGTGTGGAGAGGAGGGCAACTAAGATCTGGTAACCATGCCTTAATGAGGAACGGTTAAGGGAGCTTGGTATGTTTAGCCTGGAAAAGAGGAGACTGAGAGGAGATATGAAAGCCATCTTCAAATATCTCAAGGGCTGCCACATGGAGGAGGGAGCAAGCTTGCTTTCTGCTGCCCCAGAGGGGAGGATCCAAATCAACGGCTTCAGGTTACAAAAGGAGATTCCAACTAAACATCAGGAAGAACTTTCTGACAGCAAAATAAAAATATATAATAATAATAATAATGGCGTCTCAAGTGCTCTCTCTCTCTCTTTTCCAGTGCCATCAAGAACATGAAAGACAGCAGCGTTTATTTCAAGAGCATCGAGGGTCTGCTCAGGCACACCATTGCCATGAAAGACCGCCTGAACGCTGCCCGCAGGTAGCTCCAGGAAGCCCCCCACAAACCCTCCTCCCACCCCCAGAGGAGTCCCAGGGTCTGGTCGGCGCAAGAGGCCAAGACAGCAGCAGTGTGCACTGTGTTGATTGTGGCTGACTTTTTAAATTAAATCTTGTTAATATTAAAGCTCAGCAAGCAGCAAGCCAATAACAGAATGATGTTTATTGCAGTGGGGGTGTGTGTGTGTGTGTGTGTGTGTGTGTGTGTGAGAGAGAGAGAGAGAGAGAGAGAGAGAGAGAGAGAGAGAGACTCTTCCTGTGTGCTGAGAGTGAGGGTTTTTCCTACATTCCTTGTGCTTGGGAAAGGTGTGGCAGGAATATGTGAACTGACCTTATCCCAAGTCAGGGCTTCTGGCCAGTGTTTCCTACTCGTCTCCAGGATTTGAGACTCGCGTAGTGGGCGGGGGTCTTTTTCCCAGCCTGGGAACCTGGGACCTTCTGTGCACAAAGCAGATTATGGGCAACCCAGTCAGATGGGCAGGGTACAAATAATAAAAATATTACTATTATTATTATTTGTAGTATTATTATTTGTATTATTACAGCTGAGTTGCAGCTCTTCTATTTTATTTTTTTTAAACAACAAGTTAAGATCCTAGTCCTCATGATCAGTGCTTTTTTCTATATACCCACCATGAAGTCGTTACAGGAAGTGCCACACTTCTTAGCCACAACAAAGGAGGTGCTGGTACTACCTACTCTTGAGGACCCCCTGAAAGAAAGCACTGCTCATGATTCTGACTTAAAATCAGAGCCTGGGAAGGCGCCGTAAACCAGATGGAACCATTGGTCCATGTAACTCAGCACGGTCTACACTGGTTGGCAGCAGATCCCCGGAGTTTCAGGCAGGGAGTCTTTCTGAGCAGGTGCCGGCGATGCCTGGGATTACTTGGGAGCAAATCTGTAGAATAACAGAATTGTGCATTTGGAAGGGGGCCCATGGGTCATCTAGTCCAACCCTTACAATGCGGGAATCACAGCTAATTTGGACGCTGCTTTCCAGCCTCTGTAGCTGGAGGTTCCATTACTAGTGGCTTGCTGATACAGTAAGATCACATCTTATGTGGGGGTTCGGGTGCAAGGGAAATTGTGTCTCCGCAATGGCGGGGGGGGGGGGAAGAATACGCCATACTCCCAGAGCCCATGCAGTCCCAGTGCAAAAAGCTTTTAAACTGTCCACCTTGTTTGGATTTAACCCGTGCAATTTCAACCAGCCTGCCCTCAACTGCGTACGGTAGGAATTGCACAAGTGTAATTATGCGTAAGATGCAATGCATCTGCCCTCACCAGACTCCCCTAATCCCCTTTCACATGCCTGGAGGCGGTTGGAGGATGGATGGTGCTTAACGGATTGAGGTTGAATCCTAACAAGGCAGAAGTTCTGTTTCTGGGTGTGGGCAGGTGTGGGGGACTCCCTGGTCCTGAATGGGGTAACTGTGCCCCTGAAGGACCAGGTGCGCAGTCTGGGAGTCATTTTGGACTCACAGCTGTCCATGGAGGCGTATGTCAAGTCTACGTCCAAGGCAGCTGTCTGCCAACTCCATCTGAGACTCTACCTGCCTGCTCCCTGTCTCCAGAGTGGGGCATGCTCTGGTTATCTCCCGCTTGTACTACTGCCATGCGCTCTCCGTGGGGCCACCTTGGAAGGTGAATCGGAAACAACTAATCTAGAATGCGGAAGCCAGACTGGTGACTGGGAGCACCTGCCAGGACCATATAACACTGGTCCTTAAAGGATCTACATTGGCTCCCAGTATGTTTCCAAGCACAATTCAAAGTGTTGGTGCTGAGCTTTAAAGCCTTAAACAGCCTCATCCCTGTATGCCTGAAGGAGCGTCTCCACCCCCATCGTTCTGCCCGGACACTGAGGTCCAGCTCCGAGGGCCTTCTGGTGGTTCCCTCACTACAAGATGGGAAGCTACAGGGAACCAGGCAGAGGGCCTTCTTGGTTGTGGCGCCCACCCTGTGGAACACCCTCCCTTCAGCTGTCAAGGAGATAAGTAACTATACACCTTTTAGGCGACATCTGTAGGCAGCCCTGTATAGGGAAGTTTGTAAGTGGTTGATGTTTTACTGTGTTTCTGTATATGCTGGAAGCTGCCCAGAGTGGCTGGGGCAACCTGGTCAGATGGGTGGGGTACAATTATTATTATTATTATTATTATTATTATTATTATTATTATTTCAAAACCTCCTATGTGAGCGGCCACACCTTGTGGCAGGGAGTTCCGCCAATTAACCAGGCTGCGGGAATAAGGAAGAGTAAACGTCTTTAATATCTGAGAGGCCTCCAGAGAACCAGCTGGCTCCCCATACACCTCTGCAGAGACGGGTTACCCACGTTTTCTACACCAAGGTCGAATCTTTCCCCGTGCCGGCTGTTTTGCGGGAGAGCACATTCCTCATTTCCTGTGTGACGCCGTTCCATGGCTTCCCGTGGGTCTGCAGGAGGCCGGACTCCACTGAGAGGGTCCGGTGCATCCGGGGAGCGCTGTAGCAATCCTTTTCCAGGGTTAGCTCGGCGCTCCCCGAGGAGGTGATGTTGCTGCTGGCCGGTGTGGTGAGGTGGGACTTCTGTTCAAGGAACGGCGGATAAGAAAACTCCCGGTGGATCTCTGGGCGTGGCCGGGGAGCGGGCATGCCCTTGGTGTTGTTGAGGGGGGCAGCGGGCAGCTCCCCACCACGGGCCGAGTCGTTCTCGTAGAGGGTGTGTGAGAGCTCGCCCTGGCTCAGCCCCGTGGCTTTGGCAGCGCGGATCAGGGCGTGCGTCACAGTGATGAAGAGGACCAAGATGCCCGACGAAAGGACGCAGGCGCTGGTGATCCCGGTTTCACTCTCAAACTGCACCAACATGTACATGGAGAGAGCTGGAATCGAGGGCGAGAGGATGCAATTTAATCCACAGCAGCGGTTTTTTCATACAGATAAAAAAGAGAATGCCTACACAGTAAACCACGGTTTGCTTTAACCAGGTTTCACCAGGACGCCACTGTGGTTTGTTCAACTAGGGTTGCTATATATCCTCTTTTTCCTAGGCACAACCTCTTTCATGGGTATGTAAAATGAGAGCTGCCATAGTGATCCAAAGTTAAAGTCGACAAATGTGTCCTCTTTTTGCTCTTCAAAATATGGCAACCCATTTCAACAAATCTGCAGCAGTGATATATATATATATATATATATATGCTTTCGTAGATTTTCACGGGTATAGGAATGCAGGTTTTGGTGTCCTCGGGTGTCTTCCCGTGTAAAAGACACTTTTACACGGGAAGACACCCGAGGATGTTTTACACGGGAAGACACCCGAGGACACCAAAACCTGCATATATATATATATATATATATATATATATATATATAAAGATAATGCTTGCACAGTAAACCATGGTTTGCTTTAACAACATTTGACTGCCGCCACGCCGCCGGTGTAAACTGTACAGCCCGCCCTGTGGAACGCCCTCCCATCAGATTTCAAGGAAATAAACAACCAACTGAATTTTAGAAGACATCAGAAGGCAGCCCTGTTTAAATGTGTGACATTTTAATGTATTTTTAATCTTTGTTGGAAGCCGCCCAGAGTGGCGGGGTACAAAGAATAAATTATTATTATTATTATTATTATTATTATTATTATTATTATTACTGCTGCATTGCAGGGGGTTGGGCTAGATGACTCTCGGGGTCCCTTCCAATTCTAGGGTTCCTGAATCAGAGCCAGCTTTCTTTGAAAGCACTTTTGCACTGGTCTCACCAGCAGAGGGCGGGCAAGAGCTAGTCTAAGGAGTGGGCAGGGGGAGGAGCCAAACTCACCTGCCAGGTAGGCTGAGACCCCGCAGCAAAACAGGCCCACTGCCACGTGACGCACCTTCCGGCTGTCCACGAGGAACCAGTCGCCCCTGCGGCAGGAGGAAGGAACAGAAACCTGTGGTTAATTCATTCACATATTTATATGCAATGCCTCCATGATATCACCTCGAGCTTTAGGGAGTTACATCAGCAAAGCAGGGGGTGGGGGTCTCTGCCCCAAAGAGATTACACACTGCACCGAGCTCAGCAGTGGGTTCTTTAGCTGGGATTCCTGCATTGCAGTAGGTTGGACTAGATAAGCCTTGGGAGTCCCTTCCCTATGATTCTAATGCATGGTGTGCTCTGTGTGTTGCCCCTTCCCAAATCCTTTGTAGCCTCTCGTTCCTTCTCCCTCCCTCTGACCCGGCAGTGCTCTTCTTAGACCACTGAGCAGACCTGCCAAACTCAACAGGCCTGGCGAATGTTGGCTCCTTGATTTCAACACGTTTCCTTTGAGTAAGACCCCTTACTCCCTTCCGGCTCATGCTAAAGCTTCGAGAAATATTTGTCCTAAAAGTGTTTCCGCAGGACATGGGGTGTGTTTTTTTCTGGAAGGAGGGTGGTGTTAACCCCCAGTGCCCCCCCCCCAAGAATAAATCAAATATTTGCACCTCAATCGGTAACTGTGGAGATGAGGATGGGGGGACAACAGATGCCCCCACGTGAATGGATGGTGTTTTTTAAAAACGCAATGTTGCAAAGGGACGGTGTCTTGGGAACAGAGAGAAAATATTGGACGCCCTCCCTGCTCCTTCCTCGCCTGCCATTGTACCCAAGAATAGAGAGAGCTTTGTTTTGACCGTCCCCTACTTTCCGAAAAAAAGGAGGGGGGTTCGCTGCAGGCCTGGACGGACTTTGTTTGCAAAACTCTGAGGAAAAAAAAGGGAAATGAAACAGGGAGAGAAAGCATGGAGGGGAGGGGGAAACTCAGAAAAGAAAACCTCAAAGTGGTAATTCAGAATGACAGCGGCAATGTGGGAAAAGTTGGCGGACGTGAGCTGGAGGGATAATGAGCAGAGTTTCTCATACGGCAGGAATTTTTGGATGGGTGCGGATGGGGGGCCCAGCACTCAGCGGAGTAACGTAAAAGCCAGCATCATGCAATGGCTGATTAAGTCCAGAAATTGTAGCAGCGGCTGTCAAATCTGTCCTTCCTGCAAATGCGTTGTTGCTGTTTTTAAAAAAATCAAGTTTCTAGACCACATGACAGAAGGTGTGCCTGAAAGTGCTCCAGTATTTTTCGATTATGGATGATTCACCAGCTCTGGCTCTTCTTAAAAAATATTTTTTTAAAAAAAATCC